AAACGTACAAATGCATAGTAAACAGTTCCGTAAGCTACAGGCACGCTGCAAGCCTCCTCAAATGTCCATTCATCAGGGATGCTCCACATCAGGATCTTGTCTCCGGCGACCACGTTGGCCATGCCGCTGTTGCGGACCATGGCCATCACACGAGAACCACTGCAAAATTAACAAACATTTTTTATAACATTACTGTTTCTTGAGACTGCGTCCGCGTGGGAAAAACAGCCTTTAATACTTAGTGATAATATAGCTTTTTAATGGTGCAAGAAGTCCTGAAATTGGCGTTTTTGAGTTATTTCAATATATACAAAAATCCAAATCTTTCCTCTTTATAATATTAGTACAGACGAATAAAAGTAACTTATTCCTAAATAAAAATGTATGTAAGTAATAGTAAGTTACTTAGGAGTTCTGCCAACAACTTCGAAGCCCTGCACACACTCCTGGTTGAGTCTGCCGCGAGCCACCGCGTCCACCGTCACACGGCCCATCGCTGTCATGACGTCACGGAAGTTCAAAGCAGCGCAGTACACCTGAAAATATACTTTACTGTGTAACTATTTCATAAAAATGCAAATTAATTGATCAGAGTTTTTCATACTTGAATGAGAATTTTGTCTGGATTTTTGAATTGATGATTCTCTTTGAGGTTTCCTTGTAACCATTTCATTGAAGAGAGATCTCCGATAGTTGTCGTGTTGACATAAGCGTGTGCGGCTTTCACTGTTTCTAAATCTCCCAATAGCAAATGACGATATGTTCCCCATTGACCCTGAAAAATCAAATCAAGAATCACAATTGTCTATAACGTGGTTGCATACAAATTGTTAATTTGCTTGTAACTCACGTCTTGGTAAACATTCAATGCTAAATCTTTATCCAATTGTTCTTCATAGAATTCCAAATCTGGGTTAAAAGCTGGAGCAGATGGGTCGGCTATGAGTAGACCGTAAACAATTTCGCCTCCAGGCTCTCTTCTTAGACAATTGACTAGACCCAAAAGACCGTTAATAGGCTCATCTTGACTGTAAAGCACTAATTTCTGACCCTCTTTTAGTTCATCCTTGACTTTGTCGATCCAAGAGAATTCCTGGTCTGCTGCCATAATTCTAAAGAATTTAGCTGGTTTAGCACCAATTCTTTTCCTGAACATCACGACGTATTCTATCCCAGTATCGTGGATTGTCACTATATCGTATTTCCCGTAGTAATCTTTTGGATTAGGACGTTCTTTTTCACGACTAATAATAAAGCATTTGTCTCTCAATGTAGACACAGCTTGTTGAAGGAGCTGAAAATTTTATTTAAATAGTGAATAGTACATTTATGACAAACTAGCTTTCGCCCGCGACATTGTCTGCGTGGGATTAAAAAAATTAAAGTAAGTAACCTATGTGATCTTCCAGACTATCATCTTCTATGCCAAATTTAATCGAGAGTTAAGCAATTTAGATACCAACTCTAACAAACATCCATCCATCTAAATATTTGCATTTAATATTAGTCAGAATAAGATGCTTTTCTTAGTAAGAATTTATTTACGTACCTCTGGTCTTTGTAATAGATTAGCTCCAACGAAGATAACAGTATTGCTTTCTCCGATTAATTTTTTATTTTCTACTGTAATATGTGAAGGCATTTCCAGTTGTTCCTCAGTGATGACTATCAGTTCAGCTTGCACCAGCGGCAGGTCTCCGAGCACGTCGGCCACCGTCTCCATAACTGGACTTAATTCGTTATTCTTGTATTCCTCATCAACAATCTCAATGCTTTTCACTTTATATGTCTGTATATTTTCGAGAATAATTTGGATATCAGCACGTAGAATATCTTCCATCTATAAACAATTATGACAACTTAGTAAGTGAAAATGAAAAATTCTCAAATCAGACTTTACTGCAAAATTGCGTATTTTACCTTCATCTTGTTTTTACCAAAGTTAGCGACAAATTCATTTTTCTCAAGAACAGGAACACCTAATGGTATCTTCTTTGATATTGGTGTGGCATGAAGACCTCTGATTTCAACACCTCCAGCTCTGAAAATTACATTAAATAAATAAATCAAAGTAAACAGAAAATACTCCAATTAAGAATTTTCCTCATGAACATACCTGATAACATCCACATCTGGGTAGACGCGTATTTCAAACGTCTGTCTGTTGGAGTCAGGGTTCATGTTGGAGATGGCGTTGTAGTGCATGGCCGCGTCGATGCACATCTTCTCTATCCTGGTGGGCACGAAGAGTCCGCGCGTGTCCTGGCCCACGATCTTGAGCTGCAGCATGCAGTCCATGAAGGTGACCCAGTTGTTGAGCCAGGCGAGGCGGCCGCGGGTACCCTCCACGTTACAACCGACCACGCCACGGAACAGACCACTGGAATAGATTGTATATTTATTATTTCGTTTTTAAGTTCACACCAACTTCATATACCTCTGATTACTCAAATAAATGTTAGAGCCGCGGTGTCAGGAATGCAAGTTGCACTAATGATAGCTGAACTTCTAAAGATGTCACCTTAAGAAGAAGAGCCACAACTGAAGTTAGATAGCTTTTAGAGATTGTCATATATCGATAAACTAATTTTAGAAGCTCATTTGAATGTAAATGTGGTTGATGGCCAAATAATTGGTCAATTTGCTTCAAAATTGAACATTGAACCCGAGGCTATAATTACAGTTATAAAAGAGGAACTAAACGTAACGTTTGATATTAGTTAATTGAGAGCGTCAGGCTCAGGGGTTTGAGCACTTGACTACACAGGTGCTGGGTTCGAATCCTACCGTAACAATCTGATTTTCCAATTACATACGTAGATTTATCTGACGGTCTTACGGTAAAGGAAACCATATCACATATCTGCGAAGAAATTCAAAGACAAGTATGTAGTGCTGCAGTGCAGGTTGACTAACACCTGGTCACTAACTTAGGGTAGTCTCTCCCTCAGTAGTGACGTAAAGCTGGTTATGATTAGTAAATTGTATATTTAACCTATATTGGTAGCCTCGAAGCCTTAATTCCTTGTAGAAGTCTTTAGTGAGCATGTGCTTGACATCAGGGCCGGTGGCCTCGTGCGGCGCGGCCAGCACGCGGTAATCTTCTCCTACGTTCTTCTTGGCGTAGATGCGACCTGTCACTATTGATGCACCGCTCTCTACAATCTATGATAGAAAAAAAATAAACAAACATTGAATTGACAAAGAGATTCCAAAAAATGTAGAAGGAAGGTGTTAATTACACTTTACTTGAGACATTTTTTACATTATCTAACACTATTTATTGATATTCTCAAAATTACATGTCCCTTAATTGTATTTTATTTGCCAATAGGTATTTGGAAAAAATATTTTGTGACACTGTTTACTTTATTTATAACAAAAGATGGAGCTTATTATAATTTTGAAAAAGACACGAGGTAGCACTAAACTTGACAAAACAGCACCTTTTAAAGAAGTTACCGGTGAAAAAATTTTGTTTACCGTCTAGTCTATACATTTCTTAACATCTCATTAGGAAATGAAAAACATTATATCGATAGAACATATTCTAACCTCAAAGTTGCCGCTGCCCTTCTGTATCATGACGATAAACTCCAAGTTACCATCTTTAGGTATGTTTGTAGCTCTCTGGAAGCGAACGTTCTCGAAGACGACGGACACTTCAGTGTAGAGTTCACCCATCATCATCCCCAGCGTCTCCCACACCAGCACCAGGTAGCCGGTGGCAGGGTATAGGTTGCGACCTGGGATATATTACCATATTACACTGCAGAATTTTTTATATGAAAGGGGGGTGAGCAGTAAGAACACAGATGTGGTCAACGACGCCCATGGACTTCCGCAACACCAGAAGAACTACAGATGCGTTGCCGGCCTTTGGGGAAATTGTAGGCTTGCTTCTTGAAGGACCCTAACTAGTATTGATTTGAAAATACCGCTGAGAACAGACCGTTTTGCAACGTGGCAGAAAGTAACAAAGACAGACTTAAGTACGTTTTGACTTAGAATAGCTGAAAATAGAGGAATATACCAGAGAACAAAATTACCATCAACAACGTGTCCGGCCATGTACTCGCTGTCTTCATCAACAATCGACATTCTAACTGTTCTTTCTCCGGATTTCATTTTCTCTTGGGCCTTATATGATGTTACATACCTAAAAGTTCACAGGATAATGTCAAAACACATAAAAATATTTTAGAAAATAATACAAGTTTGAAGATATTCAATTGTTTTCTATAATATACTTTATTTTAACTCTGTAAAGATACGAAATGAGTATATTAGAGGAAGTTTGAGAGTAATCCCAGTGGTTGAGAAAATAAGGAGTAAAAGGTTAGAGTGGGGGCATGTTATGAGAAGGGATGAATCGCATGTGACAAGAAGGACGTTAGTTATGAATATGGAGGGGTGCATCGGTAGAGGTAGAGGTAGAAAGAGATGGATGTATTGCGTGAAATGTCACATGATGAAGAAGAGAGTGATGACTGAGATGACGGATGATAGAGTTATTTGGAGGACGAAAACCCGGTGCGCCGACACTACGGGAGTTGGATAAGGCAAGGTAGATGATGATGGTAACATACTCTGTAAAGTTAAATGCAATAATGATATTGTCACTTGTAAATATAATATAAGCTGAATCTCACCAATCTTCGCTGTGTTCCCACTCGACGAGGTGCGAGAGCATGGGCGTGCCTTGCGACACGGGGAACGCCACGGGCGGGTAC